CCTCCAGGCCCACCGCGGACGGCTCCCAGGACCTCAGCACCTTCCTCTGCAGCGCGCCCTCGGGCTTGAGCACCTGGCAGTAGTCGTGGTCTCCGAAGGAGCAGGAGAAGGGGCGCTTCTGGCCCGCCTGGGAGGCGGGCGGGGCAGCAGCGTGCCGCAGGTGGGACAGGAGCTCGCTCCGCTCAGGGTGCTTCTTTGGCAGCTTGTGGGCAGCCCCCGGGGCCACCCCGAGCTGGAGGCCCTCAGGGCAGGGGAGGCTAGGGGCCGAGGTCTTGCCCGGACCATGCTTGATGTCGGCCTTGAAGGGGTCCTCCTCCGTGGGTTTGTACGGGGGTGTGGTTGGTGGGGTGAGTCCTACCCAAGCAGGGGGAGAAACACATGCGTGAGGCGGGGAGCAGTCTTGGTGTCCAATGGACACTGGGCCTTCGATTGGGAGGGCGGAGAAGCAGCCCCGTGCCACCGCTCCTCAGACCCGAGGTAATGGCAGGCAGCACTAGCTGATCACCAGAGTGCAGGCTGAGCATGGACGTGGCGTGGGACTCAGTGCTCGGCACAAGGCCCTGCCTGCCACCAGCAGTCCTTAGGAGCTGGCTGGCATGCGACAGGAAATCCCTGCTAGCTCTTTGGTGGCCTGCTCCGATACCTGGAGCCTCAACGTCGCCCAAGAGATCTCCTTTTATTCCACAGCCACTCATTTCGTGAGCCCTTCCGACTGTACCCCTAAACGCCACCAGAGCAGACACCACAGGTAACCACCCCCACCACACACACCTGAGCGTTACTACCAGTGTCCCTAAAGCTCCAGCACCTGAGGGTCTCCTCCATCTCACCTGCCGTGCCGCAGAGTTCCACCGTCAGGGTCTGCTCGAAGGTCTTCTTGTCAAAAGGAGGGGGACTGGGGGGGACCGGGGAGGACAGACAGGGCAGAGGCCGGTCAGCAGCAGTCTCCTGGCACCCCGGCCACGCAAAGGGTTGGGGGGAGACTAGGATGGACCCCACATTAGTGGGGTCTGAGGAGAAAGTGGAGGAGCCCCATCCTGGTGGTTAGAAGGGCACCGCCCAGGTTTGCTGCCGGAGAGGTGGGTAGGGGGGGAGGTGTTACCAGCCTTATTTCACAGTTGAAGCGGAGGGAGGCCCAGTGGGGGGTGGGGGTGGGGAAAAGGAATCTGCCTAGAGTCAGAGGGCTTCACCAGGGCTGCCCCCCACCCCCAAAGGAGAGATCACTTCAAGGTCCCAAATAAGATAGCCTGTGAACCCTTAACTCCTCCTCTGGCTGCTGGCGTGCAGGGAGAGGGAGCCCAGCTTCTGGGGGGATCAAGGCAGAGCCTGAGGACCCCCCCACCCCCCCATGTCAAGACTTTCTAAAGATCTACCTTTGTGACAAGGCCAGCAGGAGGCACCTGGGAGAGTCTGAAAAGAAGACAAAACAGAAGACAAGATTTGCCAACACAGCATCACTAGCAGGAGCGTCTCCCGTGGAGGGGCCACCCCCTCACACACTCCCCCCAGTCCAGCCGCCTCTCAAGTCCAGACTCACATACAAATGCCCTGCCATTGTAGGGGAAGAGGGGCCACTTAAAGCCCCATTTCCCAAGGCTCGCCCCAGCACAGGGGCTGCTCTGAGCTCCTGCGGTTTGCCAGAGGGCAGTGTGGGTGTGAGGGTAACCCCTGCTAGGCAGCCATGTGGTCCAATGGGAGGGGTTCTGGATCTGAATCCTGGCCTGCCACTCCCTCGACAGACGCAAGACTAAATCTCTGGGCTGATCCCCAAATATTTCCTTCCCCAAGTTTCTGCATCTGAAAGTAGGGCTAGTGAGAGGGCTTCTCACATAGGCTAACTGGGGAGCAACTGGCCCTCGGTGGGACCTAGGGTCCCTGAAGGAGCTGCCCATCTCGGCCACTGGCTTAGACCAGTCCCCGGACAGTCACAACAAACAACCTTCATTGCTACCATCACCACCATCACTAGCCTTAGGGCTGGGAGCATCATGGTGAAGTTAAAGTGATAGACCCACGCCTCCTGTCGCACCACCCAGTGCGCGTTCGTGATAGCACTGACCGCAACGGGCAGTGAGCGTCCCTTTGTGTATGTTCTAAGGCCGCCTGTGGCCCTCACTAAACCATAAGCCACAGGCAGGTTTCACTAAGACAGTGGTGGCAAACTCGGAGACAGGCGGGCGTCTCCGGAAGGTGGCCTCCAACTCTCCCAGTGCACCGAGCCGAGGAGGAGACAGGATGTGCCCAATATCGCACAACGCCTGGGGGGTGGGGACATGGCGGTGCGGGCCGGGAACACAGGACACCTGGTTCTTGTCCAGTAGGGTATGCGACACGCCATCCCTGCCCCCTTTCTTGCTGGCCACCGACTCTATGACTACCTCTGGAAGGGAGCTGTGGGCAGCTGGGGTCCTCGTCTGTGTCCCCACAGCCGCTCTCGCAGGGGCTCTCCAGAGCCGAGGTCTGGGCTACCCGAAGGAGCTGCTGGCCGTGGGCACTGTCCTCATCGGTGGGGCTGCCCAGCGCCCCCTCTGTGGCATAAGCCTCGGGGGCCAGGCACGATGAGGGCAGGGTTTCCTGGGGCTCTGCAGAGACCAGGGGCTCATCAGTGAAGGTCAGCCAGGGGCCCAGCTCGGGGTTCAGCCTTCTCGAACGCCGCACGGGGCACACAGAGTTCTCCAGCTTCCGGCTCAGCTTGGTCCATGGGGAGCCTCGGCCCTGCCTTTTCCTGCCCCACTCCTCCTCCTCCTCTTCTGCTTCCTCCTTTTCTTCTTCTTCTTCTTCCTCCTCCTCCTCGTCCTCTTCTTCGCCCTCCTCTTCCTCTTGCTGCCTGGCAGGCCGGCCGGCAGCCCCTTTCACATCTAGCCGCAGTGGACGCAGGCTCGGCCTGGGCCCCGTGCTCTTGGGTGAAGCCGTGATCCTCACCTCCTCCACCGGCGTTGGGTGGCCAGGGGAGGCCTGGCTGTCCTTGGGGGCCCTGGGCCTTGGCCGGGGTGTGAGGGAGGCGTACACAGGCGTAGACAGGCGGTAGGGTTTGCTGACATCACAGAGGACATCTTGAGCCAGAAGCTCTCTCAGGATGGAGAACTCTGCCCAGGGTGCTTTGGAAGGGTGCTGGGTCCGAGGCCGGGCTCTGATCTGTTTGGAGGGGCTGCTGCAGGGCTGGGGGGTAGGCTGTGAGGCCGGCAGGGGCAGCTTCCTCTGGGGGAGGCAGTAGGTATGCATGTAGCGGATCAGCTGCACCATGGCCTGCATGTCCTCCCGGGAAACCTGGGCGCTGGGGCCTGCCCTGTCCAATGCTGGGAAGTCCCGGGGAGAGGCTGGGGTGGGCTGGGGGCTTGGGCAGTCCTCACCCAGCTCCCCATCCTCCCTGGCAGGGAGCGGGGGACTCAGAGGGGCTGGTGGCTGCAGGCCCGTCTCTGGGGAGCAGGCTTTGGCCTGGGAGCAGGACAGCACCGAGGTGAGGTGCTTATGTAGTTCTGTACAGCTCCGGTTCTGAGGCTGCATCAGGGGGGTCTTCTTCGCCTGGGTGCTGTCCATCTAGAGGGAAAGAGGCCAGAGTCAGGAGGGGCCCATGCTGCCCCCTCCCTTCTGCAGTAGTTCTCCCCTGGCCAACCCACAGGCAGCTTCACTCACCGGGCCCCCAGCCTCCATCTCACGGCCTGGCACTGGTAGGCGGTTGGTCAATAGGGAATCAAGGGGACCAGTCCCCCTAACAGGTCTGTTGGCCAGGCACCTGGCCCTTGAAGACCCTTCCAGATTCACTGTGGGGACCCTGCTTGCCCCCTACCCCACCCTGATAACACCACACCCCTCTGTAATAGAGTCGGAAAGTAGATTAGTGGGTGCCTGGGGCACGGCGCAGGAACAACAATTATGTGGGAAGGGAGAGCTCACCAAGGCTCTGTGGGGTGACGACAGTGTTATAAAGCAGGACTGGGGTGGGGGATGCATCCCTGCAGGTGGAAGATCACTGCCATCACCCCAATCTGTTTTAGAACACGTCACCACTTAGAACGAGGAGCCTCAGTCTCCACTAGTTAGTGCTCATTCGGAAAAACAGGTGGATTTTAGGGTACGTCAGTGGTACCTCAATAAAGCTGGCAAAAAAGAAAACAAGACCAAAGGCCAGCCCATTCCCTGACGTTCCCGAGCCCACAGGGGAGATGGGACGCTCCCTGGACAGCTCTTCTAGGCTGCTGCCCCGGCGTGTCCACCTCCCCAGGAGCCCCCTGGTCTCCAGAGGGCACCGAGCTGGCCTCACAGTGGGCTTGGCCACCGCTACCCCTCCGGGGTGGAAGGGGCCTGTGCTTCAGGGGGTCAGCTAGAATCGGTTGGGCACAGCTCCTCCTGGGTCCAGGCAGAAAAGGGGTCCCTACACTGAGGGACCTGGGTGCTAACACCCTGCCTCCACATTCTGGCCTTGCCCCTGAGGGCGTGGGATCGTAGCCACCATCTCCTGAAGGGACTGCTGGGGCGGGTTCCGTGTCTGGGACTACTATGGCCTCCGATTATGCTCACCGAGCCCGAGGCAGTAAGAGGGACTTGCTTTGACCCCGGGTGCTCACGGCCTCCTAGCGATCTCAACGTCATTCAGTGGCCCCCACAGCCCACCTCCATCTGGACTCGGCCCCTCCCTGCCAGGCCAGCACTGGCCTCCTCTTTGCCCCTCTCACCTGTCATGCACCCACCGCCCTTGGCCAAGACTGCTCTGCATCCCTACAGCTGAACAAACGGCTTCGCTCTCAGCGGGCAGGCGGGTCACCCCCACCAGGAGCCCTCCCCGATCACCCCTCTCCCGAGGCAGCTAATCATCTTTGAAATGTCTTATCTTTTTGTTTGGGTCTGGAACCCCACTAGAATCTATCCCCGAGGGCAGTCCACATCATTGTCCTTGCTCAAGGGACACAGAACATGTGCCTCCACCCCAAGAAGAAGACATCTGTGAGAAAGCCCAGGCTGGCTGGGTGTGCAGTGGGGAGGCCCATTCCATCAGCTCTGGGGAGTGCAGGAGGGGCAAGGAGGGAAGACGCCCTCTCACTGGAGCTGGAGCTTCCTGGGGTCCCTGGCCAGCATGGGGGCAGGGAAAGAAATACCTTGACACAAAGCCGCTGGCTTTTAGACCTGGGACCTGACTGCCTCCAGGCGGCCCCATCCTTCTGGAGGTCAGAGGCTGGCGTAGGGGAGGAGGTGGCGAGGAGCAGCTTCTGCAGCTGAAGGAGAAGCAAAGAGGAGAGGTGATGCTCAGCCTGAGCCTCAGCCTGAGCACCGCCACCCCGACCCTGGGAGTGCCCTGAACGACCGGGGACAACGCTCCCAACAGGACAAGGGCAGAAAGCTGATCACCCACCAAGCCCCAGCAAAGTACTCTAACAGCAAGAATTAATAGCAAGAGCACACAGGCAGCTTGGAGAAACCCAAGCAGGGCCTGGCTCACGTCTGTCCATTCGACTTGTTACAATGTCCCATCTGTCCTTTATGCGGATGCCGTGCACATGTTATGTGACAGTGTGGCATCCTGTGAAAGCTGGAAGCTGGGTGAGGCAGAAACCTGCCGGGGACGGAAAAACAAATAACTTTTCCACTTGCAGAGAATGCTACCTACATGGTGGGCCCACACCCCATAACAGAAGGGAACGGGCGAGACCCGGAAAACCAAGGAGGCCCCACGGAGTTCCGGTGCTCTCCCAGGTGGGCACTGGGCTCACACCTGGGATGTCTGGGATGCCAGGGCCACACGGTTCTCTGATGTGGGATTCTATCTGATTTCCCCTTGGCTTTTTCATATTGCCTTAGAAGCCGATGACTTATGTTTCACCAGTCAAAAACAAAATCGCACCCCACTGCAAATATGTACTGGTCTCCCTCCCTCCCCTGGCCTGCCCTCCCCACCCCCGCCAACTACTGCGACCCACTTCCTGTGGCCTGACCATGAGGAGCCCTTTGAGGACACAGGACACATCTGTGCATGTCACCTCTCCCCCACCCAGCTATTTTTACACAGCCAAGAGCAGAAAAGTCAGTTTGTCTGACTTTTCCCACTGACTTATCGCCACTACGAAGACTATTATTAGAAACGACTGAGCCCCTAATAGAAAAGGAACTTGACCTGGTTTCAAAAAAACCCACAAAGTTATTTCTCTAGCTCAGCGGTTCTCAACCTGTGGGTCGAGACCCCTTTGGGGGTCGAATGCCCCTTTCACAGGGGTCGCCTGATTCATCACAGTAGCAAAACGACAGTGATGAAATAGCAACAAATACAACTGCATGGTTGCGGCTGAAAGAGGGGAAACTGAGACCCTGACAGGAGGATTTGTACACACACACACACACACACACACACACACACACACACACACGCGGCATGCTGGGGCTCGGGTCCCTGGAGAGCTTGTGCCTGTTCCGGCCTGGCTGCCTCGGGTGCACAGGGCTCCCCACGCCTAGGGCGCACACCAAGAGTGCCTGGAAGTCCCACCAGGGGTCCTGCTACAGGCAATGGGGAAGCACAAGGCCTTGACTGTGGCACCACTGTCCCCCTGGAGGGTGCACTGGCCCAAATCGCCTGGCCAGAAGCACCTGTGGCCCAGGAACCAGAGAAAAGGCCACTCTACACACGCAGTCCCGAGTAGCTCGCTCCCCCCACCCCCCAGGTGTCAGGGACTCTTGATGCTGGGCAGACTAGGAGGCCTGGATCTGACCCCTGCTCACCCTGAGACCCTGAACAAATACGCTCCCCCTCTGGACCGTGTTTCTGCATAAGGAGGGGCGATGGAACTGAACGAGTGGATCGGACCTCTCTTTAAGGAAGCCCTGTTAAGTATGCATTGAAACCTGCTGACGGCAGAAAAATGCAGAGGCCCACGGATTGAGGTGAAGAATTGAGGGGCTAGGATCATGTCTCCAAGCCCTTTCTAGATGTTTACATGAGGCTGCCTAGCACGGTGCCTGAAACACAAGTGCTCAGTAAGTCTGCATAGTGTCGTGAGTTCTGTGTTGGGCCGTTCACTGTAATGTCAGTTGTTCAAAACCACCAGCCGCTCCTCGGGTAGAAGATGAGGCTGTGTACTCCCATGAAGAGTTGTAGTCTCAGAAACCACGGGACAGTTCTGCTCTGTCCCACAGGGTCGCCAGGAGTCAGAATGGACCCCAGGGCCATGAGCGTTGAGTCTACAGCTTGGAGAGAAATAACCATCCACCAGCAGGGGTTGCTCTGTGCTCCCCCAAGTTAGCAGCCTCTCCAGGGGGGTTGCGCAGAGGCCACAGTTAGTCATACAGACCAGGACACAGCTAAGTTCCAGGCTGAAGGAAACTACGACCGCTAATTGGTGGGGTTGGGTGAAGCTGTGTGGCACGAGTCTGAGAGGAAGCAAGAGACACATAGCAGATAGCTAATCAATGTTTGCTTGACACTGCTTTGGGAAAGTTGAGGGTGTGGGGGGCAAGAAAAAGCATTCTGAATCAGGAAATCAGAATGCCTAGGTTCTGGTCCAGGCTGATAGGAGCCCTGGTGGCATAATGGGTTATGCACAAGGTCAGCAGTTCAAACCAACCAGCCCGCTCCAAGGGAGAAAGACGAGACTTTCTCTTCCCATGATTTACAATGCCTCAGGACTCTACACAGGGTTGCTGAGAACGAAAATCAATTCCATGGCAGTGGGCAGTTCGGACTGGGTGGCCATCGGGGAGCCCCTCCCCACTCAGGGCCTCAGTTTCCCCAGAATTGACTTTTATAGTCACTAAGGGCCTTTCCTGCTCAAACTTGACCTAAGAAGCCTGCCAGCTCCAACAGGCCGGTGCTTCTAGCTAAACGCTGCAGCCTCACAGTGAAGAGGGGCAAGAGACGATAGCCCCCCTGCTCAGCTCGCTTTGGGGTGGAGGGGCACTGCTCTTACCAACTCTGCGGGGGATAGACCCTTCCTTGAAACATATCGGAGCCAGGACCCCTCCCCAGAAAACCGTGATTCCACGCACGCAGCTACCCCAGCCACACACACACACACACACACACACACACACATGCACGCACGCACGCACACACGCTCACACACACGCACGCTCACACACACGCACGCTCACACACACACACATGTATATATACATATATCATGTAGGCTCCCATCGTTTTAAGTGTCATAGGAAGGCCACAACTCATCAGTAAAGATGCTACCTCTTGCCAAAAGTCCCAAACTCCCTGCCATCAAGTCACAGTGGCCCTAATGGCCAGAACAGAACTGCTCCTAACTCTCTATGGGAATAGAAAACAGCTCTTTCTCCCGCGGAGCCACTGGTGGTTTCAAACTGCTGACCTTGTGGTTAGCAGCCCAGTGAGTCACCAGCACGCCACCAGGGAAGGAAAAGCAATTGGGAGATGGAGGGGCAGGGCAGGGAGGTTTTGCTTTTTACAGTCTACATTCCCTTCTTGATTTCTGCCACGTGGCTGAGTGGACTTCAGGGCAAACAGTTACATGTAAGTTTAGGGGTTAGCCCTGAGCACGCGTCACCCCAGGAAAGCCCAGGGGGCTGCAGACTGCAGGTGAAATCCCTCCACGGTTGGGCCGGTGGTGTTACAGGTGGGAAGGAGAAACCGGGAGGCCTGCGCCGCCTGCCCAAGCCCTGCAGAGGGTCAGGCTGCCTGCTCAGGCAGGGCCCACCACCCCCGCAGCCAGACACAAAACCCCAGGCTTCCACCACGACTCAAGCAGCCGGAAATGGGTTCTCACCAGTGAAAGCTCATCCGCCTCGGGGTCTGGGTCTGGGGACGTCTCCAGGGAGGGGCTGGGGGGCGCGGACGAGGGGGTAGGGGACGCGGAGGTGTAGGAGGGAGAGTCGTCGTCGCTGTGGAGCTCGGGGAAGGCACCCAGGCCCACGTCATCCTCGGGGATGGGGATGTCCTCCAGCGTCTTGGTGAGCGCCGCCAGGAGGGCCTCATTCTCGCCGTCGATGATCTGCGGGAGGGAAGGGGTGGGGTTGGTGGGCACCGTGCATGCAGCAGATGCAGGTGGAAACCGGTGGCGGCAGTGCCGGCACAGCCATCCCCTTCCTGGCGCCTACCCCAACTCCTGGGAGAACCGTGGCCCAGGAACTGTGTTCTCGGCTTCAAGCGGACCAGGCAGCAGGTAATAATGAGCAGGGCCTGGCATGCCCTGGAAGCCTGGTATGGGCTGTGTGCCTCCTCAGGTGGTGACCTCGCACAGGAGGCTGTCCTCCTCGGTGACACCTGCCCCTCCACCAAGGACAGTGGCTCCACACCACATCTCCCTCGGCCAGTCCCCTGGACACGGCCATCTCCCCACCCTCCTGCAGGCCAGGCTCAGCCCCTCTGGCCCTCTCATCATCACTGCTGCTAGGACCGCCCCACACGTCCTTCCACAGGGCTATGGGGTGGGGGAGGCAGCAGTGTGGAGGCCAGCAGCGGCCCGCAGGCCCGGGCCTGGCCTGCCCACCCACTCCCGGGAGGGAGTACGGCTAGCGGCTGGCAGCTTGGGCTCTGGAGACTGGGGTTAAATTCCAGCTCAGGCATCGACCCACTCTGAGTCCTGCAACAAGGTACTGAGCTGTCTCATCTGTCGAATGGGGTGATGGGAGGACCTACCCCTCACACCTCCCAAGGTCATACAGCTGCCTTTGAGTTGATTCTGACTCACAAGTGAGCTGATGTAAATCCACTGCCACCAAGCCCATTCCGACTCATGGCTGAACCGCCCTGTGGGTTTCCAAGACTGGAAATCCTTACAGCAGTAGAAAGCCTCCGCTTTCTCCCATGGAGCCCCTGGTGGTTTCGAACTGCTGACCTTGTGGTTAGCACCCCAACCACACACAACCCATTATGCCATCAGGGTTCTATGCGCAAATACAAGGGGGCTTCAAAAGGTTCCTGGGCATACCCTATTACCGCTTTAAAGACGATACGCAACGCGTCATGAGTGTGTGACCCATTCCTGCTACCCTGCTCTGGCTCCCTCCAATGTGGCCTGCACCCACAAAACGAGGGCCCCGTGTCTGTGAGCTCCGTCCTCCCATGGACCTCGGCAGCACCCTGAGGTGTATGGACGGTGCTTGGGTGGGCACACGACGAGCACCGGTTCCCATGACTGCTGAGTAGGAGCCCTTGGGCGGGCTGATGGGGAAGGAAGCTAACCACGAGGGTGGAGGATGGAGCCTCCCCTGAGGCAGCTGGGGTGGGGGGCAGGGGAGAAGGCCTGGCGACTCATCTAAAGAAACCAGCTGCTGAAGATGTTGTGGGACACAGCTCCAGCATGCATGTATGCAGGCTGCGGGGAGGCAGGGCGACCCCATCGCAGGGGTGAGGCCCTGTGCTCTAGCCATGATGTTGGTGGCACTCACTCACCTACGGCGGCTCCGCAGGGGAAAGATGAGGCTGTCGGCTCCCAGAGAGATTTAAAGTCTCGACAACCCAAGGATCAGTTCTCCCCTGTCCTATGAGGGGTGTGTATGGGGGGGTGGGGGTGGGCACTGTGAATCAGAATGGGCTGGTTGGCGGTGGGTTTGGGGGAAGCTACTACGCCCACGACGGCTCCTGCTGTGATGGCGGTGACGGCAGGTAACCATTTCCCCTCCGCCCTCCCACAGCACCCACGTGTGGAGTGGGCCCTCTGCGCCTGGCCGGGCCTGACAGGAGCTTCCAGTGGCGCAGAGCGTGGAGCGGCGTCTATGAGAGGAGAGGGTCCTGTCATCGATGGTGGCGCTGCCTGCACAACTCTTCTTAGCATGCTTGCACGATTAAATTGTAGGAGAGGCGAAGCACGTGCCCACCAAACGATCTGAAAGGAGACGGGCGCACCGGGCGGGCTGTTGCGGAGAGAGCTGGGAAGCCACTAAAAGGGAGCTGTCTGGAGAAGAAGAATGTGACAGAGATGTGCAGGCTATTTAAGGTCGCCGCGCAGGCTGCTCGGAGCAACCGATACACTTCAACTTACGCCGGAAAGATGAGAAGGCACCAGCCAGCAAAGGGCTGAGGAGAGAGGATTCCAAGCTGTGTGTGTGTCTCTCTCTCGGGGGGGTGGGCGCCCAGTGCAAAGGCCTGGGGTAGAGAGTTGGAGGAGGGGAGAGGTACAGGATCAGAAAGAAGGCTTTATAAATACTACCTCAGCCGGAAGCTCGCCACAACCCCTGGGAGGGAGGTGCTAGTCTACCCTCCGTTTTGCAGTGGGTGCCTGGAGGCTCAGCAGTAAGTCCAGGGTAACCGTGTAAATGAAGGTAGGGTCACAGCTTGCACCCAGCAGACTGTGCACAAACAAGGCTCTGCCTTCTCGGAGGGGCTCAGATCTGTAATCGGGGTCGGGGTGTGTATCCTGTGTGCCACCCCCCACCCCCCAGTCCCCACCAGGGGCCCTGGAGCCCAGAAGCAAAGGCCCTAGGTGCTGGCCGGCCAGCTCCTTTCATGCCTCCAACTCCAGGCTGTGCTGGCAGAAGCACTTTGTGTCACATGATGCCTGCCCGTGCTCTTCCCATCCCGGGCCAGGCTGCTGATCTGTTCTTCAAGAAGTTCATCTGAAAGACACATCTCGTGACTGTCGTTTGGCTGCACGGAGTCTGTGCCAGGCCTGGCAGCCAGCATGGAGGCAAGTACGTTGCAGGGCGGACTCGGGGAGAGAAGAACAAACATGCTCATCACTTTTGGAACGGTACTGAGAATCAAGGAAGGGTCGGGAGACGTGCTCGGAGCAGGCCTTCCCCAGGCTTGGGGTAAGCAGCACAAGGACTCACTGACCTGATTTGAGAATCCAAGGATGCTCAGTGGCTGCCTCAACCTTCAGGCCAGACCCCCAACCCTGTGTCCCCAGAAGTCATCTCCTTCCCTTGATTTGGCCCAGCTTCCCTCCTGGATAATGCAAGAGGTTCGTGGCATCCTCTAGTGCTTAGCTCAAGGCCAGGGGCATGGAAGACACCCAAACAGATTTGTGAAATGAAAGAATGACATGAGCCCAACAGTGGCCTCTGGGCAGCGGACAGACTGAGCAGAATGTCTCAAAGAACAGTCAGGGGCCCAGAGAGATGAACTGTCACAACTATGAGAGCTGGAAGGGCCCTCAGAGATCACATGCAGTCACCAGGGATGCCACACACAGGCCAAGTGTGCAGCCGCTTCCCACTCCCGCACCCATGGCAGGCATGACTAATCAATTGTGGCACCCACTCCTCCAGAGCCACCGTCTTTCTCGAGGTGACACAAGGCTCCAGGGAACAATGACCGATCCATTGCAGTAGGCACTCGTCTCATTGGGCTGTCTCCTTTCAAGACTAGGGCGAAGGAAGCTCCGTGGGAAGAGGAGATGCAGCAAGGTCAGCCAGCAGGCCAGAAGGGGCGTCAAGAACTAGAGCCCAGACGTACAGACCAACACTTCCGGAGACCTCACACCAAGGGCCCATTGAAGTGGGTAAAAATAAAAACAACACCAGGCCTTCCCACCCCACCTCCTCACCGCCCCCTCAGGGCCCCCTGCCCTGGGTGGCTCCAACCCTTCCTGCCCACAGCTGCCCTGAGTTCCCTATAGTAATACTGCATAGGCCCTCTCCTCTTCCCCGGCCCATAGCTCAACGGCTCTGCCTGGAAACGCAGTGCAAATTAATGGAGAGTTAATCAGCTGAGGAAGGGATATTAATAGACTCAACTGCACCCCCAACCTTCCCGAGCTGATCTCCAGCTGGAGGAGAGGAGCCTCCTAGTAACCTGAGGGGAAGTGCTTCCTGTGGACGCCCAGAGTGGCTGGAGGGAAGGTCAGAGAAGGAGTTAGGCCCTCCCAGCTGGAAGAACACTCCGAGATGCCTCCTTGATCCAGGGTTTTAACCGGGCCTGGGAAGCCCACCAAGTGGGCGTCTGTACATTTTCAGTACTTATTGGGTCACTTCAAGGCTGTAGGTCCACAGCTAACTTCCATCAGAAAGAATTTGGGGACACCACCCCTGCCTGACACGCATACGCGCACACACATGCACACACACACATACGTGCACGTGCCCTGATAAGAGTCCATGCCCCTTCCACAGTGGGGAAACAAAGAGACCCAACCAGACTTGCCCAAAGCCACACAGCCAATTGTGGCCGACCCATCAAATGCTTGCAGGCCCCCCAAATACCTGCGCGTCTGCTGGGCCTCAGGAAGTGGAGGGCCCGGGGGCACACAGAGAAACTGGAGGCCACGTCCTTGTCCATACAGGGTCATCAATCCTCGCCTCTGTGGCTGGCTCACCACCCTCTCCCACTGTATTTCCATAGCAACGTGCCATTACCGTTACAGCGTGGCTGTGATGTGGCAGCACAGCCCCACGAGTCCCACGGGGTGAATGAGGATGAGGTCACTGTCCCAGCTGGTGGCCGAGGGAGGGCCTGCGACCCCTAAATCCCAGCCCAAGGATTTTGGAATGGGTCCTGCCTGACCCCTGGCAGGAAAGGAAATATTACCATCAGTCCCTTCATTCAACAAGTGGAATTAAATCCGTACCATGTGCTAGGGCCCCAGGGATGAATAAAGAACATGCCTTTTTGTCCTTAACGAGTTAGTCCATAGACTGAATGAAGGACAGACATGTATGTACGCGCATGCGCGCGCACACGCCTCCAGGTAGCAACACAAACAAACACGTGGGAGCCCACGAGAGGAAGCACCTGACCACCTGCCTCAGGAAGGTGAGACACAGGAGCGGGGCCACCAAGGCTTGATTCCCATGACAAATATTTATGAAGTGCCAGGCATTGGGGAACACAACAAAGAACAATGTGGACAGGCCCATGCTCGCAGCCTGCTGCCTGGGGAGGGGAGAGAGGCGCTAATCAAATCACCCCATGCTCCGAGGGTAATCGGTGATCAGGCAGCAGGGCTGAGGGTGCTGGGGCTGTACTGGGTTCACCTGCATCCAGAACCATCTCCAGCACACGGAGCTCAAACTGTTACCCCGAATCTTCGTGGAGAAGGGCACTGTCAGTCTTGAGAAGTGCACTCAACCCCTGTGTTCCCATGAACTATCAGCTTCAGCATGAGTGCTCCTACTTCATCAATTACCCCCCATGCCCCTCACATGCCCCCGCCCCACAAGCACACACGTGGAGCCTGCTTTACCCGGAAGCAAATCCCAGACAGCGTGTGTGTCCACATATGAGGCTTCTGGACGGGAACGGCCACCCTGGCCATGTGTGCCTAAAGCTTGGGCACAGCCTCCTTCTAAGGGCCCTCTGACTCCATCCGAGGAATGCTGGTGGCACAGGGGTCACTGTGGCAGCCGGCTCAGTCTTGGAAGCCTAAGGGGCAGTTTTAGCGTGTGCTGCAGGGTGGCTTTGTGCCAGGTAGACTGGGCCGCAGCGGGGGCATGGGCCGCAGCGGGGGCATGGCCCGCAGCGAGTTAGGAGAACCACGTGAATTCATGCATCAGCACACTGCCCGGCCACAGAGCAGTTGTTCCAATTACCACGTCGTCGTGGTTACAAAGTCCGTTCTGGAGGCAGGACACCTGGGTTGAATCCCATTCAGCTATTGTCAAATCAAATGACTTGACTTCTACAAGCCTCTGCTCCCCGCCACCCCCCATTTCACATGACCAGTACAATGCAGGGAATGGCCACCCCTGCCTCCTACTAAACTCACTGCCTCCGACTCAGGACAACACTACAGGACAGGGTAGAACTAGCTCTGTAAGTCTTGCCGGCAGTACAAAGCCTCATCTTTCTCCCACAGAGTGGCTATTGGTTTTGAACTGCTGACCTTGCCATTAGCAGCCCACTGCATCACCCACTATGCCATAGGGTTCCTTCTGTGATGAAGCTCCAATGAGCTCCCATAGAGAAGAGAGGCCTTAGACCCAGTTGAGAGGGACTCAGCTCTGCCGCAGGCTCAGAGAGCACACTTCCTCCCAGTACTCTCGCTACACAGACTACGAGGCCTGGGAGCTGCCCACCGGTCGGGGGCAGATCCAGGGCCCCAAGAGCTCTGGCGGGTGAGGGGACCTCTTTGCCTGAGCAGAGGGTAGAGGGCGTACCTGGAAGAGCTCCGAGTCGTCGGGGCTGTACTGACTGGGTTCTGTCTCCGAGTTGTCTGGGCCCCACTGCAGCTCCCCGAAGCAGGTGGCCGAGTCAAAGTCAGCGACGTCCAGCTGGGACAGGTCGAGCTCCGGAAGGTCAGCACACAGTTGCTCCTCCCCGGGGCCTCCTCCCTGAAAAGACAGAGAGGTAGGAGGGAAGCAGGTCAAAGCTGAGCCTAGCAAGACCCCACGATGCTAGCTAGAGGCGGGAATTCTGAGCAGCCCATGGCCAAGGCCTGATTTTGCAGCTCAACGAAAGAATGCGAAGCCCGGTGTAGTGGTTCCGCATTGGGCTTCACCTACAAGGTCCGCAGTTTCAATCCACCAGCAGCGCCCGAGGAGAAAGATGGAAATTCGGACTCCCCGAAAGAGTTATCGTCTGGGAAACCCCCAGAGTCAGGTCTCCCCTGTCCTATAGGGTCCCCGTGAGTCTGTTCTCTTCCCTGAGTCAGGCTGCAGTTGTTGAGCCGACCAAGCAGAAGGCGCTCCCACACCAGGCCCTGGTAACACAATGCCTCCACTTCTTCCTCCCTCCTCCTCGCCGCTCCTACACATCCCTCAAAGCACTACCTGGAGAGCACTTCTTCTCCCACCAGAGTTCTGTGGTTGAAAGGCAGGCAGACGCTGCAAACAGAGTTACTAGTTTACAAAACTACCCCCGCCTACATGGGGCAGGGGAAGGTGGGGGAGTGTCTTGAAGACAACAATCCCTCTGGATCAAAAATTAAATAGCAACCAAAATCAAAACACGTCAGCAAGAGTGGCTGACATGACCGAGTGACTGACTGCTATGTTCCAGAGAAGCACCGCCTATGTCCACAGGGGTTCGACAGGAAGAGTCCTGGAAGGGCTGTTTATACTGGCTGCCCTGTAGCTATCACTGACCAGCAAGGCTGGGGGACATCAAACTAGGCTATGACCGAATGCCAGACTAAAAAGAAGGCGTTCTCTCCAAGACCCATGAAACGAACAGCCACATGACCCAATATCACCCCGTGGACCTGCCGGTGTGCAGAGAACAAACAAAATCAAATAACCTGTTTCTCTATGCACAACAGAATGCACGCAATGACAGGGCCAGGCCTGGATGGTTATACAGCCCCCGATAGGGCTCTGGTGGCGTAATGGTTACGAGGTGGGCTGCAATTCGCTTGGTTGGCAGTTCAAAAACACCAGCAGCTCCGAGTTGAGAAAGACGGGGACTTTCACGCTTGGAAACACCTAGAGCCGTGGCTCTCAACCTTTCTAAGGCTGCGGCCCTTTCATACAGTTCATGTTGCGGTGAGCCCCCCAACCATAACATTATTTTCGTTGCTACTTCATCACTACAGTCATTTTGCTACTGTGATGAATCGGGCCATTCGACCCCCAAAGGGGTCGCGACCCACAGGTTGAGAACTGCTGTCTTAGAATATCGGAATCCTGAGGGGGTCACTATGAGTCCGCTTTGAATTCATGGCAGTGAGGAGTGAGGAGGTGGGGGACGACCGAGAGCGGGTGGGTGGGTGAGGTGGCACACAGAAGGGTCCCATTGGAAATCCGGTGACAACATTATTTGAATCAGCGCTTAGCAGCATCAGCACCATGGGAAACCTGTTAGAAATGCAAATTCCCAGGCCCTGCCCCCACGTGTAACAAGCACCAATAGAGGTTGGGAGGATGGGTGGGGAAAAGGATGCTGTGGCGGTAAAGGGGTTTCGTTAGGTGCCCAGGGCTGCCAGACCTGAGTTATACTCCGCACGCACTAGCAGGGAGACCTGGGCTAGCTCTTCCCCTCTCTGAGGCTCAGGGGTCTCATCTGGGAAACGGGAAGCACCGGCGCCCAGCCTGGTGCAGGTGCTGTGAAGGAATCCAGACCTGGGCCTGGGAGTGCGCAGGGAGTGCCCGCCAGCATAAGGGCGGCAGCATCGCCGCCGACAGTGGAGTGAAACTGCCTTTGGGAACAACAAAAATGGGCTATGTGCCACAAGAGAAAGACGCTTTGTCAAGGCCTTTCCTTAATTGTTCCCACTTACTAAACCTCCTAAATTATGAATAAGTGTATATTATTAGCTCAACTTGACACAGGAAAAGAGCTTTTATCCAAATTTGGGTCAAATGTCTTAATTGGTGTCTCACAGGAATCCTGCACACAGAGGCTCTCTCGATGGCCGGTCCCCACCCTGAGGCCAGGCAGCAAGGTGTCCGGCATGATCTCGGTCCCCAGCGACAGCCAGTCCCCCACGACCCCTGCCCAAAGCGCCCTCTCTTCCTCCAACCCATACACTCACCAACCAGGCAGGCTGAGGGGGCAGCAGGCCTCGTGCCTGAGCTAGGGCCAGAGCAACAGACAAAGCCACCACGAGCTAATGGGTCCAGGGCCAACACCGCGTTAGACATGTGAACACACAAAGGAAACGTGTGATTCTGAACCCTGACAGAGACAGTAGTGGTTCTGGGTGCGAGATCCAAGTTCAATGCCTGCCCAGAGCCCCTCAGGTGTGGCCGCCGCCCCCAGGCAGGCTTCAGTGGAGCAAGTTTCTAGCCAGGCGTCCTCAAACTGCAGCCCGCCGAGGACATTTGTCCGGCCCGCCGGGTGTTTTTGCCCCGGTTGTTTTTTCACTTCAAAATAAGATATGTGCAGTGTGCATAGGAATTTGTTCATAGTTTTTTTTAAACTATAGTTCGGCCCTCCAACGGGTCTGAGGGACAGTGAACTGGACCCCTGTTGAAAAAGTTTGAGGACCCCTGTCTAGACTAAGACAGACTAGGAAGAAAGGTGTGGTGGTCTGTTTCTGAAACTCAGCAGGGGTGACCCTATGAACGGCAACGGGCTGCATGGCTGGGACCAGGCAGCATTGCATTCCTCTGCGCAGAGGGCCGGCCCCAGGGGGACACTCTAATCTCTGGAGGGCCTGGTGGAGGGTCTGCAGGTGAGAGGGGCAGAGGCACTGCCACAGGCCCCTGAGTACTATCCACTCCCTCAGCTCCACCCTGCCCAGGGCCCCCACCGCTTCTCACTCCCCAGGGGGGCGCTCCCAGCTGCCTCTTGGAGCTACTTTTCTGAACAGACACCTGCAGGTGTTTCACTAGTCTGAGGTGTTCAGGTGACCCTGAGTACATCGGTCTATGACATTCATGGACAAGTCTCTGCACAGACGTTGGTGCTGGGCCAGGGCAGGCAGCTTGTACTCCACTAGGATGACCTGTTCACGCAGTGGTGACGGCGCTCAGCTGCTAACCAGAACGTTGGAGGTTCAAACCCACCAGCCACTCCCTGGGAGAGTGAAGTGGAAGTCTGCTTCTCAAGTAGTTTACGTCACTGGAAACCCCTCGGGGCACTTCTACTCCTATCGGGTCCCCAGAGGCCAGAATCTCTACGTTGCAGTGGGCTGGGTTTGGGTTAGGTACTAATCTCAGAGCTGGTGGTTAAAACCCACCCAGCAGTACTACCAGGGAGGCCTGGCAATCTGCTTCTGTGAAGATTATGGCCCCCCCACTTCATCCCCCCCCCCAAAAAAAACCCAAACAAACCGGGGGTGGGACACACACTTCTGTTTCGTCAATACCTGTGGCCACCATGGGTCAGAATCTCTTGAGAACTGTGGATTTGGGTAAATCTTTGGGGGCACAGATGCTAGGCCATATAGGGTAAGGTATATGCAAGGTAAATAAATGTAACCTTCCGCAGCCTGCAAATGGTTCTCCAAAGTGGGAGCCCAACCTCCCCAACCCATCGGCAGGATGAGAATTCTCATCGCTCTGTGTCCTCGCCAACACTTGGCACTGTCTGGCATTTAATTTTAGCCTTCCTGGGGAGCACACTCAAGCATGTACCAAATGCCACTGTGAGCCGGGCGTGGTGGGGGAAGCCAACCGACAAGGAGCTAAAAGATCCCCGCACTGCCATGGAGTCGATACCGAGGACCCCACAGGGACCCTGTAGGACCGGGTGAAACTACCTCCTTGAGTTTCCAAGGCTGTAACTCCCCATGGGGGTAGAAAGCCCTGCCTTTCTCCGCAGAACGACTGGTGGGTTTGAACTGCTGGCCTTGAGGATTGCAGCCCAGTGCGTAACCGCTATGCCACCAACAAGGAAGAAAACACCAAGTATTTCATTACTCCTGGCCTAGTAGTGGTTACACATTGGGCTGCTACCCACATGGTTAGCAATTTGACACCATCCGCTGGCCCCTCAGAGAAAGAGGAGGCTTTCTACTCCTGTGAAGACTTACAGTCTTGGAAACACAAAAGGGCCATTCTGTTTTGTTCTAAAGAGTCGCAACAATCTGACTCACAGCGACCTTCGAGAGCTGTCCCTTGCCAGTGAAGAAAACAGCTCCCTGGGAGGATCACAGAGGGTTCCCCTTTAGAAGGGTGTGTCAAGAAAGGGTCCCTGAAAGAGCTGACAGATGAGTCAGGCCCAAAGGGGGAAAAATCAGGTGAGGGAAGAGTGTTCTTAGTAGAGGAACCAGCACAGGTCGAGACCTAACTCCAGAGCCTTTGGGGCAGTCAGTGCGGCTGCAGTTTGGTGAGCGGGGCAGGTGGGAGAAGGTAGTATCAGACAGGCCGTGGGAGCAGGCCAGGTAGGGATTGTAGAGTAGTCGAATTTTACTCCCAAGCGCCATGGTGGGCAGCACAGAGTGGGAAGATGGTTAAGGGGGAGTATGGTGGAGACCCCACTCTGAGACACTCGGGCCCTGCAGAGCAGTCGGGGAGGGTGGGGAGCCGATCACAGGGTGCTGGGCAGCCTGGCCTCCCTGGCCAGCAAGGCCCACAGAGGTAATCAATGTCTCTCTCTCTGGAGAGCCCTCCTCCCTGCTCTGAACTGTCTGTAGAATTTGCTTCTTGGGGCTTTGAAACAACATTTAAACCATCGCTCAGAATCCCAGGGAGGCAGGACCCAGCAGGGCAGTCAGGTAAGTCATGGTGGACAACTTAGGGGACAAAACCCCTTTTCAAGAACCAGAGAAAAACAGTGGAGGCTGCCCTCCCAAAATGCATGTGCGCACGGAAGCAAGGCTGGACATCTACCCCCAGAGACCCAGCTTAAGCACGGCTGATCCACTGGTTTACCCCCTTCTCTTTAGAGGGGTGGAAACAGGCCCAAGGAGGGTGCTGGATATATTCAGGGCCATCCAGTGGGTGTCCTG